TCCTTGTGCTTTGCGCCCTTTGGTGGGGGTTCCTTCATAAATTGTATCCCGAGATCATCGGTGCAAGTGATGTGTGTGAAAAAAAGGAAGAGAGCCAATGGAATGTTTTGGAGAGCAAGAGTTCCAAATAGAGGCAGAATTGTTGACATACATATGAGCTTCGGCGCGTAGGGTATCGAGGCGATGCGGTATGGAGGAAGGGTGCATAACGATTCGGCCATGATACAGATTCCAAGAAGCGTCGAACAATAGCGAGGGTCGCTCGACAAAGAACTGAGAATTATGTTGCCTTAAGATTAACGGATATAAATTCAATCAACATGATTATTTTAACGAGCGTATTTCAGAGAGTTTGCGCATAGATGTGCTTATTTCTTACAAACGTGGAATCGTACAATTCATATAATTTATTTTACGTTACTTAAAATTGAGGAATAAAATTATAAGGTAGAAAATTGTCGCTAATAATATAAGCGAGAGCTGAGAATTTCTAAATTATACGATTACAATTCCACGATGTAGCGGCGAGAGTTCGGTTTATATATTTCGATTACATGATACAATATATGCCCTTTCTCTTAGTTATATTTACGTAAACCTTACTGTAATTTAATTATTATAGATTAGATCTTAAAATCTTAAATTCTTGAGATGAGTAAAAATCGTCCCAATAAATATAAATAATGAATAATAATAATAATATTGAGAAATACAATTGCGTTTCTTAAATAATTATTCAGAAGGATTTGTAGCGCACAAAAATACGATTTCGAAAAATGACGGGATGTTACAGTGTATATATGTCAACCAAATAAATCATATTAAAAGCTCACTTTTACTTGCCATTTTCACAAATTTCACGTATACGTTAACGTGTATCTTTATTGTCATTTGAAAAAGATTAATTTGAAGCTTTGTTTTTATTTTGTTCTACTCTTTTTTCTCTGCGCTCCTCCCCCCCCTTTTTTTTTTTTTTTTTTTTTTTTTTTTTTTTTTTTTTTTTTTTTTTTTTTTTTTTTTTAATTCTTGGTCGCTTTTAAATATACTGCCCGTCTGTTCCGGATTAAAATAGGGGGTAATTAATGGACTGTTAAGAAAATAAAACAGAATAAATTAATTGCCAGAAAACCTCTAGTTATTAAGACCTTCGTACACAAGTACAAACATAGATAAGTTCAAAACAAGGAAACATGAATAACTCATAATCATACTGACAAATATCACATATTAATTCAATTAAACATCATATGTGGAGGTAATTAATATGTATATAATATAGCAGAATAAAAAGAAATCGCTAAATATAATGACTAAATAATATCACATCATAGAATAGAAAGAAAAGAACTTAATATAATTATTCAATCGATTGACTCCGCAACATTTCAAATGACTTCAATTTCAGAAAACGGATATAATAGATTATTGGTTCAGAATAAAACACATATATACATATACAGTAACGCTCAATGAATATTAATGAATAAGATATAGAAATCATAAATCATTAGTTAAATGTATCACATAGAATATCTTAATGACATACATTAACTCGTTAAAGTAATCAAACATAAATATATTAAATCTTTTATAACCATATAGGTTTAGTACAACAAATCATATATAAATATCTTGAGTATCGGATAATCTAGACTCAGTAAAATAAATCAAATATAGCATCATATCTTATGAACTCAGAAAAGTAACTCAAATATAACATCTTATCTTATAAACTCAAAAAAGTAACTCAAATATGACATCGTATCTTGTAAACTAAGAAAAGTAACTCAAATATGACATTGTATCTTGTAAACTAAGAAAAGGAACTCAAATATGACATCGTATCTTAAAACTCAGAACAGTCACTTAAATATAACATTGTATCTTGTAAACTCAGAAAAGTAACATTATTAAATACAGTTATAAGAATCCTGGCGAGGCCAGTCTTTGTAAAAATAGTTAGGCAACGTCAAACTATGCATACAGGGCAAAGCCCACTCTTGTGTGAATACTGGCGAAGCAAGTCTTTATCAGAATAGTTAGACAACGTCAAACTATGTACACAGGACGAAGCCCACTCTTGTGTGAATACTGGCGAAGCCAGTCTTTATCAGAATAGTTAGACAACGTCAAATTATGTACACAGGGCGAAGCCCACGCTTGTGTGAATACTGGCGAAGCCAGTCTTTATCAGAATAGTTAGACAACGTCAAATTATGTACACAGGGCGAAGCCCACGCTTGCGTGAATACTGGCGAAGCCAGTCTTCATCAGAATAGTTAGACAACGTCAAATTATGTACACAGGGCGAAGCCCACGCTTGTGTGAATACTGGCGAAGCCAGTCTTTATCAGAATAGTTAGACAACGTCAAACTATGTACACAGGGCGAAGCCCACACTTGTGTGAATACTGGCGAAGCAAGTCTTTATCCGAATAGTTAGACAACGTCATACTATGTACACAGGGCGAAGCCCACTCTTGTGTGAATACTGGCGAAGCCAGTCTTTATCCGAATAGTTAGACAACGTCAAACTATGTACACAGAGCGTAGTCCACTCTTGTGTGAATACTGGCGAAGCCAGTTTTATCAGATTCATTACCTTAAAGGACTCCCTCGAGATATCATTCCTCAAAACGGTAGTACTTTCCTTTCAGGTAGTATTTGGGCAATCCTTCGTCCACTCCCAAGGTATATTGTCCATCACAAGGTTCGTTGAATATACTCCGGGAAGTCCAAACTCGTTTTCGTCCGATATTCGTCACCCAGATCAAGAATTGATTCAATGCTTCGGACAGCGTCTTTCTTTCTGGAGAGAGTTGAGAACAATGGCCGACTCGTTTCGGCGGGACGACGGAAGAAAGCTCAGCGCCTCAAGCGTTCGTCCCCGGCACTAACGGCCTCTCGCAGCGCCTCCACGTCCGGCGCGTCACGCGTCACCCACGGACACGACAAGACGCACGAATCCGTACATCCGCGAGTTTTCCCAACACCGTCTAAAAGATATTTTTTGAATTTGGTGTAGAGATGTCAACACCTTTGCTCCATCCATATTTAATAATTTTGGATTATATTCTATTTATGGTGTTAGAGGTGTTACGTCCCGACTCAATAAGAAGGAAGAGTCGAAGGAGGAACGTAACTATACTGATGTCGAACGACACTAGACGGTGCGTCTGTTCGACCCGAGCGAACGTACGAAGGGCCCCGCAATAGGTCAGCGACCGCAAGGGTGACTCTTACTCTATTTAAAGGGCAGTTCGCTCGGTGGTCCCTTTTCAGCAAGAGAATTAAATCTCTTTTGCGTGGGATGGGACCCTGTGCGACTTCCAGGATGGAAAGGAATGAGTGTTTTTTTTTTTTTGTTTAAATAATTAAGTCCAGATTGATCCCAAAAATCTAGTTTAATATAATTATTTTTAATGAAATTAAAGAAGAAGGGGTATTTACATATCTAATACTTAAACTACACGAAAGCCTTATGTGTACGATGTGAGTGTGTGTGTATATCTCGCGGGTGTTACATAAGTGCGGAGGTCATCAATCGGGATTATAACGGACAGGGTGTGTGAGAATATATTTATTTTAATATTATATATGTATATATTTATTTTAATATTAGTACCCCGATTGGACATTACAATTTAGCAATAAGGCTAATTTTAAGAGTAGGCGTGTATAGGTATGTGTGAAAGGTCATTGGATTTCTTCGAGTTGGACAGTAGAGGGGGGATAAAGTTTTTTAAATAGGAGTTGGACGGGGACGAGCAGAGGATATTCCGACTCTGAAAGATACCAATATACGAATTCGTCGGGATGTGCAGTTGTTAAGAATTGCGCCAGAGCCTCTAGATCCACGAGATCGGGACCGATCGTAAATCCGTCTTCAGGTACTTCACGTACCCTGGGGATCTGATCAATTAACCAGGCTCGGAGTTGGTCTAAAGTTAACCTGGGCTCTTCCTCGGTGAGATCGATCGTTTCGATCTCTTCGGTAGGTTCCGAGTCTTCGGAGGATGACGGGGAAGAGACAGGGGATTCCTCGAAGATGATTGTCGAAGGAGCAGGGGATGGAGATCTAGGAAAATCAGGGAGCTCAGGGGAGGAAGGGGAAGGAATTTGGGGAAGTTCCGAGGATGTGGGGATGGGAGACGTGTGTGGTGTGTGGGTGTCGAACGAATTAATATTATTGTTAATAATAGTGGGGTCTTCTACACCCAGACTCGCTCTTTGTTTCAGCCGCCGATTCCTCGACGACCTGAACGCGGTCCGCGATATTCGGTTTTGAGGTCCGTCCACTACGAGGTCGGGTGGTTTAAATTGGATTAAAAGAAAGAAAGAAAGGGTTCTGTTACAAATCGCGGGAGCTATATATATATATAATTTTATATTCGGTTTGCTTTTTATTTTCTAATTTACTAGCGGGAGAAATCACGAAGTCGTCCGCTGTTGCGGAGAATCCGGAGTGATTTCCGGAATAGAAGGTAAAAATCACGAAGTTGTCCGCTGTTGCGGAGAATCCGGAGTGATTTCGGAAGAAGCGGATAGAAATCACGAAGTCGTCCGCTGTTGCGGAGAATCCGGAGTGATTTCGGAAGATCAGGATAGAAATCACGAAGTCGTCCGCTGTTGCGGAGAATCCGGAGTGATTTCTGGGAGAAAGGTAGGAGAAGGATCAAAGGGTGTGAGGTAAATAATTGGGTTATCGAATCCAACGGCGAACCCAAAGACTCTAGTTTCTATGATTTGATTAAACTCCCGGGAATTGTACGAAATATCGGTGTGAATGTGTTAGGTAGACTTACTACTTATCAAGAAGAACCTTGGTCAGCTGGAGGTGGCTCGGTGGTTGACGACGGCTGGGATTTCGTTTTGCGAAATTAATACTAACAGAATTAATAATTCTTTCGGTTGAACACTCAAATAAAACTAGTTGAAGTTTGCGAACGAGATGAGACTGACTGAATGAGAATGAATAAGAATCGAGAGAAAAAGCCTGAGTCGCTCGCACGGTGTTACTCGTATATAAACCTCCTTGCTCCTCCTTCTCCATTAGTTGTTAATATCCCCGACGAATAAGGAAATTTTCAATGACGCTTTGGAGGCGTCCTTTGATTTTGAAAATTAATATGATTGGTTCGGACTTGTTTAGAGTCCAGGGTTTCGACCAATGGAGAATTTGTTCTTATAGAGGGAGGTTGATATTTTATTGCTCCTCTAGTTATGACTCAAGCAGATATCGCGTCCGGTGATCTGTCAGGCGAGGATTGTTTAGGTTATCGGAAAGTTTTATTGATTCTCAAGGGCTCTATTGAAAGGAATAGGCACCAAAAATTGTTTTCCCTCGCCTGTCACATCGTGCCCTATCTGCGGGTCTGCGATATTTTGAATATCATTTTACACTCTCCGAAAGGAAAGAGATTCGTAGATTTCCCGATTTATTACGTTTACTTTGCTTTTCGGGTCGTTCTCTATCCGCCTTTGATGTTCAAGATATCGCTTTGCGTTCTTCGAAAGAAAAGAATCGTGAAGACCGCAGGACGTAACAGAGGTAAAGCTTCGCTTTTATTTTGTTTCACTTTATTTTGTTTCACTTTATTTTGTTTTTTTTTACTCAATTTCTTGGTCGCTTTCAAATATATCGTCCATGGTAAAAGTTTCTGATTCTTGTTAGGGCCGCACTTATTCCTTCTACATCTAATGATGAACATTTTTTCGTGTTCTGTGTTGGAACAAACAAAATATAAATAAAAAGTAAACGATATTTTCCAGAACTGACTTTCCGTGACGTCTTTGGCATCCTTTGCTTTTTTATAGACTTGGTAAAATTCATATTTTGTTTATGGTGTATTATGGACTCTGCTTTATGGAGCTGCGTTATAGAGTCAGCGTTGTGGAGTCTACCTGTTACATATTTAAACTTTGCTTCCTGAAAAGATACAAAAATTAAATTATATAGCATTACTGATAACATTACTCAATAATGTAACGGAGTAATGTATTCTGCTACAAGTTCGAGGTTACTTGTAAGCAGATGGCAAAATAATAATTAATTTAGGCATTTAATGCAAAAAAATGTAATGATATAATAGCCGATTTAACTTAATGTGTATTCGCATATCATCGTTGTATATTAATGTAGACAGAAAACATACACCATTGCATATCAAATTTTTGATCTGTCTACAGTAGTCTACATTAAGATGCAACGACGATATACAGATAGACATTAAGTTGATTTTGTCATTATATATCATTACATCTTTTTGCATAAAATGCCTAAATAAATTCTTAATTTGCCATGTTCTTACAATTAACCTCAAACTTGCAGAATATTTTGTGTCACACATATTATATTATAAAAATATTTTACATAATGCATTATATATCTTTAAAAAAAGAATTTACATACAAGATAAAAGAGATTACCTTATTTAATCAAAGTTACGCTTTCGTTCTCCTCGCCCGTCGCCCATGCGGTCGCCCGTCGGCAGCAAAAATAATAGAGAATGTTCGGCTTGGAACCGCGGAATATACAAATACATTTAGAAAGCGTAATCCCGCATAACTCAAATTATATAACACTAGTTCTTTAATTATAATAAAATAATATATACAGTATTATTATTTTTATAATTTAATTTAATATGTCTATTAAAAATCTTTTAAAAATACATTAAAGACATCTTTTAAAAGAAATTATTTAGATATCTTTAATATGTATATTACATAATATGTTAAAGATATCATTTAAAATGTCTTTTCAGATATTTAAAGGTATCTTTTAGAAATTCTACAAAGAAATCTTGAATAAAGTATTTTTAGACATCTTTTAGATATCTCCTGGATATCTTTTAGAAATATCTTGAAGATTTCTTTAATGAGATATCTTTTAGATTTCTACAAGATTTCGATGTTTACTGGGTAATTCAATATCCAAGAACGTACAGGTGTATCTGCAATGAGAAGGCTCATAATACCACTGGAATTTATTTTTGACGAAATAAAATACCATTTCTAAGAACTTGAAGAACGTTATCAATGAACTGATGAAGAAAAAGATCACCAATGCTATATGGTTTTTTTGGTCTTTTGCCATTCAAGGCAAACCTTTGTTTTTGAGGTTAGACCTCTCTTCCATCGATAGATGGACAACTGATCCAATTGCCAGATAGACGGGCTCCTTATCAAACAAAATTAATCATTAAATAAATGAACCAGTCATATTCATGACAAATATATACATATAAAGAAGAGAAATTTTTCTTACCCGATGGCGCCGGTGGCGAGAATACAGCGCGGTCAAAAGAGTGTCATACCTCCATCCCCATTCGTAGGGAGTACCCAGACTAAATAGTTTCCTCAAATTGAAAACATCTCCATTCTGACTCTCCGACAATTCGTTCAAGGCCTTCCTCAATTTTTGCCGTTCGAAATGCAAAGTTACTAGATATTCAATGTTGTTCGCAATAAACCTCACTCCCTTTTTTCATATTAACGTGGTCTTTTGCAATCTTCACATCTGAAAGACTTCTCGCCTGAAACAAACAAATTTCGTCATCATTAGCTTATGCCTTGTTACAATAAATAAGTAAATTATATTTATTTGTACTTACCATTATCTGATGACTCGGCTGGAAGGAGAGGGTCTTGTATTTCGCTGTCTTCGAATTGAATTATTTGATATGTCCCCCCAATTTCGGTAAGCGATTCGATATTTGGTTCGATGTTTGGTTCGATGTTTGGTTCGATGTTTGGTTCGATGTTTGGTTCGATGTTTGGTTCGATGTTTGGTTCGATGTTCGATTCGATGTTCGATTCGATGTTTGGTTCCATGTTCGATTCGATGTTTGGTTCCATGTTCGATTCGATGTTTGGTTCCATGTTTGATTCGATGTCCGGTTCATCTTCTAAATTTTCATCTGAAGTTTCAAGATCCTGCTCCTTGTCCATTGCATCGCTTTTCCTTTTCTTAGATGCATGACATTTATGCACTGAAAAATGTTTATAAATATGCTATAAACACATCTCAATAAACAAGTTCTAAACATTGTTAAATTTTTAAACAAAATTGCTTACACTCTTTTAAAGAAGATATTAGTTTAGCCAAAATGCTTCTCGTTTTTTCTAGCAGCTTGTCCGCCTTTACTGGTGGAATTTGTTTTTCAACTGTTAAATAATAATAATATATTGCTGCAAAACGTAAGAATATTACTTATTAGTATCGTATATTAAGATAATTAAAAAATTTATTATGGTAAATTCTCGGAAGCAAAGAAATATATATTTGATAATCAAAGTTCAGTTTCTAATGTTTTAAATTATATTTAATGTTTAAAAGAATCAAAGTTATTTACGCAGATGAATATATGACTACTTTGTACAATGCTGGTGATGATAATAAAATTACGTATTACCTTTGATTGCTAATATTTTGTTGCCATCCAAAGCTTTTTCAGGTTTTGTAGAATTTCTGTTACGATTACTTCCTTTTCCGGTAACAGTGCTGTTCAGCAGCGTGTCCAAAGAAAAGAGAAATTGCAATTTGCCGAAGAAAAATTGCAGGCCTTTTACAATCGCAAGCGGCTGCAATGTATGAGGATTTTGATAGATATTCACCATATCCAAGATGAATCTGTAACAGATATAATCTGATTAAAACCTGGAAAACTGGAGAGTCTGGAAATTCGAGTAAATTAATTTTGCATATAAAGTTTAATGCGACTTTTTAAAGAACAGTGCAAGAAAAAGAAAAAATGATTGCAGAGAAGGAAGAATTGATGGCCAGAGAAAAAAATATGAAAGAAACTATTTGCAGCATTGAAGGCTGAAGTAAGAACATAATACCGATTGAATGTTGAACTGCAGAAATCTGCAATCATCAAAGGAAGAGATTCAAAATTCGTTAAATATTGAAATCACTCACGTTTTTATTATCAAGCGTTATATGGTATAGCCAACTGGATGTTCATCACTTTGGGATGCCACTACTTGTGGATTGCTTCCTATAATCATATTTTTAGCAAAATTTTCACTTATATTAAATATATAGATATATATTAAATATATATTAAATATATATATAAAGGTATACGAACTTCGCATTTCTTTTCCTTTGATAATATAGCAGATTCTTGCAGTTCCATATTTAACTGGTATAATGTTTTCACTTCAGCTTCTAAAGCTGTAATAGTTTCCTTCATATTTTTTTCTTTGACGATCTACTCTTCCTCCTTTTCTGCAATCATTTTTTCTTTTTCTAGGAGACTGTTCTTAAAGAACTCGCACTGGGCTTTATATGCATTAGCAGAATGTTTTAATTTTTCTATTTCAATATTTGAAAAAAGCGAGCTGCTGCTACGTTCCTATTTAACAATATTTAACAATATTTCGTAACTGCATAAATTATGTTTATATATGTAGTTTATTATATCATTTTCTACATACTTTTTATATCAAGTTTATATAAATTTATATTCAATTTACCTGGAATTCTGCTTCAGATTGTGTATTAATTGCACGCAGGATCTGACGTTCTTTCAATTGTTTTAACCTATGTTGCTTTTTTTCTTCCAAATCACTTTCTCTGTTTAAAGAAAAACATAAAAATTTACTGCAAAATCATTGGCTGATATTCATAGTCCGTTCTTATATTTAATATCATCTCAGGTATGATTTTAAGATAATTCATTCGCGATAATACTATTCAAGTTAGTACTCAATCAAACATGAACGCTTCTATCAGAAAAAAGCGCTAGGGGAAAATGGATATGAATGGTAACGAGTGATAAAAAGAGGATTGTAAAGGTTCGGGAACGCTCCTATCAGAAAAAAGCGCCGCATATATGTAACATATTGTAACATATATAGCTAGTGGAATAGAGGAGGATTGTAAAGGTTTGGGTACGCTCCTTAAAAGTGCCTTTAATCCCTAAGGGGGCAAATAAAGCAATGAATGAAATAACATAATCGAAGCTCCGCTTCGGTTTAATTCTCATACGAGACCTTAATAATTAACACTATTATAAAGAGTATTACTGATGAGTGATTCATCACAATTATATTGACACATTTGCACATTTTAGAAAATCTTAATTTACGAATTTTTAGTTTGACACAATTAAATTTTCACATTTAAATTATTTTTATATAACATTAATATACATTGTTATACATATAACGTTTTTTATAAGTTGTTTGTTAAATTGAAAAATATGTATTCTAATATTTCTCATTATATCTCTCTCTTAAAAAAACAACGATATAAATATTATCATTTTGTGCATTATTAGTTTCTATATTTATATATATAATTTAAATTTTATAAAAATATCAGTTTATAAATGTGCTTAAATATTTTGCTTATAATATTGCTTAAGTCTAAAATACAATGTTTATAATATTTTATTGCATATGAGTGCATTAATATGTACGAGGGCGGTCCGATAAGTACTTAGCCTCACCGCCCGATGGTGCCAGTATCGCAAAAGAGATTTACTATCGTGTAGAGTGTAGTACATTCTCGTAGATGGCTACTGTCAAAATTTCAGCCGAATCGGACTCGTAATTTTGTTTTGACCGCGTGTGGAAGCGGGCGTGTCCGCGGATTTTAGAAAAATGAAAAAAGAGCAATCGGTCGGTGATTCGATTCTTGTTTTTGGAAGGGAAATCGCGCAGCGAAATCAAAGAGCGCTTGGATGCTGTGTACGGTGACTCTTCTCCTTCGATGGCGACCGTCAAAAATTGGTTTAACGAGTTTCAACGTGGTCGCACGTCGGTTTTTGATGAGCCACGCCCAGGTGCCCCGAAAATGGCTACCACGGAGGATAACGTGACAAAAATCCACGATCTCGTATTGGCAGACCGCCGATTGAAGGTGCGCGAGATAGCTGAAACAGTAGGCATCTCAAAAGACCGCATGGGTCATATTCTGCATAAAATTTTGGGCATGAGAAAGCTGTCGACGCGATGGGTGCCGCGTTTGCTCACTCCGGACAACAAGCGCAACCGTGAGACCACTTCAGAGCAATGTTTGACGTTGTTTAAGCGCAATCCGAAGGAGTTTCTGCGTCGTTTCGTGACCGTCGACAAAACATGGATTCACTGGTACACATCAGAGACCAAGGAACAGTCGAAACAGTGGACTTCATCCGGCGAACGTGCTCCGAAAAAGGCGAAGACTGTCCTATCGGCCGGAAAGGTGATGGCCACCATTTTCTGGGATTCACAAGGTGTGATCTACATCGACTACCTGGAGAAGGGCAAAATGATCACAGGGTTTTACTATGCAAAATTATTGGGCCAAAATTATTGGTCCTATCGGCCGGAAAGGTGATGGCCACCATTTTCTGGGATTCACAAGGTGTGATCTACATTGACTACCTGGAGAAGGGCAAAATGATCACAGGGTTTTACTATGCAAAATTATTGGGCCGATTCGACGCCGAATTGCAGAAAAACCGGCCCCATTTGGCGAAGAAGAAAGTGCTCTTCCACCATGACAACGCACCGGCTCACACCTCCGCCGTCACCACGGCCAAATTGGTCGAATTGCATTACGAACTGCTGCCCCATCCACCGTATTCTTCAGATTTGGCCCCGTGCGACTTTTTTTTGTTTCTAAACTTGAAAAAGTCACTCGCCGGGCAGAAATTTGAGTCGAATAAAGAGGTCATCGCCGCCACGGAGGCCTACTTTGCAGACCTCGAGAAAACTTATTTTTCAGATGGGTTAAAGAAGTTGGAGCATCGCTGAGTCAAGTGTATCGAGCTAAAAGGAGATTATGTTGAGAAATAAATCGCCACTTTTCCAAAATTTTCGTTTTTCTTTTGTAGGCTAAGTACTTATCGGACCGCCCTCGTAATTGTGTTTATTTTTAAATACATACCTGCAAGATTTACAAAAAAAACTTATAAACTTTATTAGAAGTTCTGTAATTTTATATTATTTTTTTCTGAAATGTAAGGATATGCTAATAAGCATATTTGAGAAAGATAAAAAAATTATATATATATATATATATTATAACCGTATCGCGCGGAATTCGCAGCGAATATCCATTCGTCGCGGAAGGAGAAAAGTCTCCTGCGGAATATCGGTTACCTTCGGCGCGATCTCTCCGTTCGATCACAAAAAAAATTTGCAACAAACAAAAAAAAAAATAATAAAGAGAAAATTAAAATCTCAATTTAGTTGGGCGCCAGGTGCGGCAGCCGCACCGTCTCTCAATTAATAAATTCGCGGGACGCTAAGTCTTAATTTCCTCGGACCTCTTGTCCTAGCCCTTTCGCGGGCGTCAATCACGGGAGAGAGAGAGATCGCGACGGCAACTTTCCCGCTCGGCTAGCCTCTGTGCGGGTAAGGGTTCGGGTGCGTGGCGGCAAGAAATCACCCTAGGAATTAAAGTTAGTAAAACATATATTTAACTTTGGTTCACAAGACACATGAGTATATAATATAAAGAAATAAGCGGCGTGCACAGACGCACGATTGAGAGTTCGGTGGGGCACTACGCCCGGTGGTTCGCCGTGCCGAGTTATGAATAATCTTTAACAAATTCGCGGCAACAAAGTAGGGTCCCCAATAACGAAAAGACGATTAATTAAATCGGCGACGCGCCACCGGGTATATGGCTCCACGCCGCGGGCGCGTGATCCGCGCGGTATGCGCGACAACAAAGGGGCCGGCGTAAGGGCGCACCGCGTGCGCCGTACATAAATTCCACACACAAAATCAAACGTAATCACGCCTTTTCGTTTAAGCCTTTACAACCTCAATACTTTACAATATTAATACTTTACATTATCAATACTTTAATGAGCCTGAAAGCGTTTATGAGCTCTTTGACTTTCGCTTCGAACAATAATCGGCAACGCGTAAATCGCGGTAATTTTCGCGCGACAATGTTACGCGCGAAGACTGTCCACGCGGGAGAGAGAATACGCGAAAACGCAAGAGAGTGGATGGGTCATAGTTTCTCCCAATGGAGTTTCGTTACGTTAATACCGGGACTCGACGATAAAACGAATCTCTCGTAATTCTATAACTGGCCGGCAACTAAGTCCGGCATACTCTCTTAACGATAAGTAATTCGGGACCCATCCACTCGGCTACCTTAATTCGGCGACAGCAGGATGACCACGTCGTCTCACCAGTCCTATAACGATCCTTATCGTCCTCTCCTCTTTCGCTCTCCCTAAGTGCGCTTCCGTCTCGGGACCTCCGCTCTCTTCGGGCGCTCGCTAGACAGTGCCGAACCGGGGGCCCTCAGGAGACACGTCGGTGACCCAATTATGTAGATAGGCCACTCGCGGCGCTATCAGGTCGGCCGCGCGCGCGGCCTCGGTGATCCTTGCGGCCGCGCGCGTAATTATCCTTACCCGCGGAGTCCTGATCCGCGGGTTGCCCTTCGTAGGCGGTCGTCGCGGCAGCGCACGGCAGGGCCGCTCCTGGCTCTCCTTCGGGATTCCGGAAGTCCCGGGGGCGGCAGCTCTCCTGCCGGCGCTCCGTATGCGGGGACTCGGGTGCTTGTTGCACCCGAGTGGCCATCCCCTGTTCGCCCCTGGAAGGTACAAATTTTCAGGCAGTGGCACCTACTCCGTTGTCGGATATTTGGTGAAGAAATTTTTAACTTTGGGGCTTACCGGACATGTCCCTGACGAAGGGGGTCCCCGTCGTCCTGCTTCCTATGCCTTCCCTCTTCTCCTCCAGGTTTTCTCTATCGGCTGAGACTCGTCGCACATCCTGTCTGCCGCCGAAATAATCCTAACTCTCAACAAAAAAAATATATGGAAACGCGTAGCAGCGGGTTCGCGTCCGATCCCGCGCTTTTCGCACGCACGCTCTCTCTCTCTCTCACTGTCTCGGGAGAGCAGAGGTCCCGTGCCCTCCCCCGATCGGGCCATTCAGCCCTTGTGACGGACAATTTCAATTTGTCACGTCACAACTCCCCCTTTCCAGAGGAGGACCGGGGGGAAGGTTCCGACCAGGAACCGACGCCGTCATCCATTCGCCTACTACTTACGTACTGGGTACCTTGAAATGATACCAGGGCGATGACTCGACAGCGGTTGACTTCTCTCTCTCCGCATCGACGGCTTTACTCTATTAATAGCGATTCTTGGTGGAGCGAACGGTCTCGCTCCAATGTTCACGTGGCACATGCAAAATTCGCAGAAGGGACGGAAAAGAAAGGTCACTCAGCGTAGTACGATTAGGTGGGCCGGAGGCCTCTCTCCTTGTTTATTAACTATATCTACACAAAAGAAAAACCTCAGCGGCCACCAATCGACAACAACAAAAAAAAACTAGTAAGGGCTAGAAGGAAAAGATCCTTTTCCTACTAGGGTTCCGACAACTATCTAGAAGCGAGGAAGGTGATAGGGTTTGAGGTCTTTTGCATGTACCTTTGAAACGATTCTACCCTCTACATCGGTGAGCTCATAAACGACAGGCGATAATATTTTGCTAACTCGAAACGGTCCATGAAACTTTGGCACTAACTTGGCGGCAAAATTTTTCGACGCGGCTGACAGTACGTGCTGTCTTTTGAGTACCATATCGTCGATTTTGTACGCGACATCGCGGTGTCTCAGATTGTAATACTGTGACTGTTTTTGATAGGCTTGTTCGAGATTCTCGGAAACCCAGTCGCGCAAAGGCACAATAGCCTTCATACGATCTGACCACTCAGCTGGGTCTCTACGTTGTATGTCGACAACTTCATTATATCTTGCGCGTATAGTTTTCGGAGGCCATAATTCTCGTCCGAGGTTCAAAAACGCGGGCGAGGTACCAATCGAGGAGTGATGAGCGGTATTGTACGCAAAACGAAACTTTCCCAAGTGCTCATCCCACTCTCGGTGATCCTGCTCGATAAACGCGACTATCATCGTCTTCACGATACGATTCACGCGTTCCGTCGGATTCGCTTGGGGATGATACGGGGGAGTGTTAGTAATTGTGATTCCGTAATCCTTTGCGAAAGATACTAGGGTATGGTTGACGAATTCTGTCCCGTTGTCGGTCAACAGAAACTTCGGCGTACCCCATCGTGACACGACTTCGTCTAACGCCTCGACGATTTTCTTACCGTTAGCTGCCCTTAGCGCGAAACACTCGATCCATTTTGTAAATAAATCCTGGATAACGAGGGCGTATGTGAAACCGGACTTACTTCGAGGGAACGGTCCCATTACGTCGGCAGCTACTACGGTCCAGGGAGCGTCGACAACGCGGTGGCCCATTAAACCCGCAGGACTGGCCTGTTCTACCTTAGTTCGTTGACAAACCTCGCACCGTTTCACATAGTCCGTGATATCTCTAAACATGTTCGGCCAGTAATAACGAACGGCTAATCGGTGGTAGGTTTTCTCAACCCCGAGGTGCCCGGATCGCGGTTCGTCGTGTGCCTCTCTCAACGCGTCTCTCCGCAACTCTCTAGGCAACACGAGTTTCCACCTATCCAGATCCTCGACGATCTCCGACACGACCGGCTTCGGTCGACAGAAATATAGTTGTCCGTCCACTATTCTCCAATCGGTAAACGGACGCGCTTTCGTGGCGACTTCCGTAAGACGCTTCTTATACCAGGCATCGTTCGTGTTCGCGTTTTCTTCGACATCTACAGCGGCGACAATGGGAATCTCGGTGTCACCCTCGAACATTCGCGACAACGCATCAGGCACGTGATGTAGCGCGCCTTTCCTGTGTATGATCTCGTAATTAGGGATGGGCGATATTCAAAATAAAATCGATTTTAATAACATCGATTTTTGAAAAAAGAATCGATTTTAAAAATCGATTTTCTATTTGAAAAAATCGACAAATCGATTAATCGAATAAAAAATTATTGATAATTAGGGTTATTATTTTTTTATTGAATTTTATAATATCTTGTTATTTTTTGTTTTTTATTAATACATTCCAGTTGTGCCTTGTGCCCAAAGTTCTTCTACCTAAAAATTTATATATATATATATACATATAATTCATTTAACTCATTTGTTTTAAATAAATGAATAAAAGGTCACAAGAATAGCAAAACACTCAATTGCATTAAGTTACAACACATTATATACTTAACAGTTATTTTACATTGGAATAAACTTTCGAATAAAAAACTGAAAATTAAATGACAGAAATAGGAAATGTTAGATAGAAAATAGGAACTGTCACCGTTTACTTTAAAAAAATATCATGCCTTATCTAGTAAAAAAACAAAACAGTCACAAAAGAGGAATACAGTAATACAGTTGCAGGAGTATAACAGTTTTGTTGTCACTCTAAACCCCAATCCTTTCGTGCAAGCGAACCGAGAAACAACAGTTTGTTTAAGTGCTCACCGGATAGTCTGTTTCGATTGTCGGTTTTGATGTCGCCAGCTTGAGAAAACAGCCGTTCGGATGGCACCGACGTGCCAATAATACTGACGTATTTTATTGCCAATTTGTACAATGACGGAAATGCGAGTTTCATTGATGACCAATACTTGAGAGGATTTTCATAGCGCGGGATGACTGGTTGGCTGAAATATTGTCTTATTTCAAAACTAACGTCTTCGCTGTGAGCACCGTAGTCAGCTTTAGTCGCAACCAAGTGGTCATGAAAACTCCAGAGATCGTTTTTTGCTGTCGTTTCAATGGGTACTTTTTCATACATTTTTTGTACAGTATCCCTTTTAATGTAATCATTAATTCGCGATATTGCAGAAGAAGCAGCCAGAGCGCTTTCAAAGTGGAGTTTTTTGAATCTCGGATCCAGTATATTTGAAATGGCTAGTATTTTATGCAACTCAAAATCTTTAAATCGTCTATTAATCGTTGCTTCAAGTTTTTCTTTAAACTCGTGTCCATATTTTGTTGAAGGCTTATATTCTCGAACAGCCACTTTCAGGCAGCGAACTAACGGGATAATAACGCTACATGTTGGATAGGAGTCTCCACTGACTTCAGTGATGACACGTTCGACTGGTTTCATGAGGGATATAACATCTTTCAACATTTGCATTTCTTCTCGTTTTAACATATCTGGTGCAGTCGGACACTTCGACATAACCGGATAAACATATTCCTCGAGAGTAAGAAATCTTTCTAGCATGTAGAGCGTCGAGTTCCAACGTGTAGGAACATCTTGAATAAATTTTAACGTGGTTCCTTCCGTTTTTCCGTCTCGTATTTGCAGCTTCTTTAATTCATCGCAAGCCACGACGCTTCTTCTTGTAATTGTTACGATAGCCCTCACTTTTGCAATCGTTTCCCGCACAGTGGGCATAGCGACTAGTACGTCTGGTACGAGATGAGATAGAGTATGCGCAAAGCAGGCCAAATGTTTGTCCTGTCCCACGAAGTCGCGTACAGCTTTTTTGATGTTGGCCGCACTATCCGTAACGACTGCCGTAATTCTCGATTGCTCCAAATTGAAGTCCTTTATAACTGAAGTTAAACACTCTCCGAGGTACTGTGATGTGTGGTTTTCACTCATCGGAAAAACTCCAACGCATCCACTCTTCATTTCGATTTGTGGAGTTACATAGTAGATAGTGACGCCTAGATAACTTTGGTTGCCGACATCTGTCCAATTGTCACATGTTATGCAATAAGAATCAAGTTTTTTGAGAGTGGCTATAAAGCGCTCTTTCAATACATCATATCGGACGTCTATCAATCTTGTCATGGTTTTTCTGCTCGGCACAGTGTAGAGAGGTGCTACTGTTTTCATGAGTAATTTAAAGCCTTCGTTGTGCACTGTAGATAATGGCATTTTATCGACCGCGATCATATACAAAATGGCATTTGTAATTTTGTCAGACGTCTTGCCTCCTTCTGTTAAAATAAAATCACAAGTCCTTTGTCAAATAATCAAAAATTAAATAAAGATTTTTTTATGGCATACATACCTAAAAATGATTTCGTACGCTCAAATGCTTCGTCGATTCTAATCAACTTTCCCTGTAATCAAAAGTATTTGTTGTTTTATTAAATTTATGAATCAGTCATTTTTCTATTTACTATAATTGTTTATTTACTTGTTATTATACTTTTTTATTTTTTACTTGTTATTTATATACTTTTTATTACTTTATATACTTGTCATTTATATATTTATATTTATTTTGTTTTACTTGTTATTTACATATTTTTTTTACCTGTGATTTGAATTTTCCTCGTTTCGACTGTGGAGGATCATCAGTAGAATCGTCACTAGATCCAGAAGTCACATGAACTTTTCGCTTCAGTCTATTAGCTTGGGGGCAAAACAATGCATGGCTTGCACTAAGGTGCTGAAACAAGTTTGTTGTGTTCCCGCCATGTTTATACACCTTATTGCAAATGTTACAACGGGCTGTAACATTAGTTTCTTTTTCAAAATATTGCCACGCTGCACTTGGTTGTTTTGACCTATTAAATATTAAATAATAGTTAAGATTAAGACAATCTTTCAGAATGACCCCTAAAAAAGGTAAAAATTTGCAAAGAATACTAAAAACAACTTACTCAGATTTAATCTTTGTTACGCCTAAACTTTTTGGTGGAGCTTCAGTTGGCGTGATAATCTTTGTTACGCCTGAACCTTTTGATGAGGCTTCAGTTGGCGTGATCTCCTCTTGGAGCTCTTGGGCTATCACTAGTACTACTTGAGAATCTCGAGAATCATCTTCTGTATTCTCGATCAATGTACTATAAAAAAGCAGATATTAAATTAAATAAATTGAACAAGGCCATAAATCGTCAACAATTTTTACACTCACCAATCCAGATCATCAATAGATTGAAACAGTGTTTGTGTATCGATTTCTTCGTCGTCATTACTGATTTCGATTTCACTTCCATACAGATTGTGAAATGCTTCTTCGAATGCCTTATCGTTATCTAAAATTAAAAGAATACATATAGGGTATATGATAAGAATAAAATAATAATCTAATACACATTGATCCCCTCCCGGAGATATGTCTTTCCTTAAATAAATACGAAATATGTATACAATTAAAGAAATTATCATCACGTTATCATCATCGGAAATCAAACAAAATTATAGATTATAGATGTTGGAGGTTATGTGATATACTTAATCGAAAAAATATAAATTTAATAGTTAGTACTTACCGTTTATGACATCCATCGCTGACTCGCATTAAATACGAAAAAAGTTCAGCAATTTTCAATTTTTGAGACAAAATCGAAATATATCTCCCGTCACACACGACACATGACGCATTTTTTTGTTTCCTTCGTGCAGCAAGATTAAGATGTTAAGAAATGTTATGTTATGTTGGAATGTTGGTGTTGGGAAAAAAGATAAAGTTGGCAGTATTGAAAATTACCAGTGCTGCGTTTTGTTTCTCCCAATTAATTTTCAATACTACCAACTTTATCTTTTTTCCCAACACCAACAAAATCAATTTTCGAACGCACTCATGTAGGAAAGATAGGTATAATTATTTCGATATTGCCTCATAAAAATCGAAAATCGATTAATCGACCGACAAAAAAATCGATAAAATATAATCGATTATTTGGATTAAAAAATCGACATCTCCGATTAATCGAAGAACATCGCCCATCCCTACTCGTAATCGTACTCCAAAAGCTCTAACGCCCATCTCGCGAGTCGACCTGTTGCGTTCTTTAAGTTGTGAAGCCATCGCAGACTGCTATGATCGGTAATCACCGTGAATTTATAGCCCTCTAAGTACGGTCTAAACTTCTTTATAGCCCAGATAACGGCTAAGCATTCCTGCTCCGTCACGGTGTATCTCTTTTCCGGATCGGCTAAGGCTCTACTCGCGAAAGCGATTACGTGTTCTTCCTCGTTAATAGTTTGCGTAAGCACGGCACCTATTCCGACCGAGCTAGCGTCCGTCTGAAGGACGAACGGAATGCTGAAATCGGGTCGCGACAACGTGGGCGCGGCAACGAGATACGATCGAATTTCCTCAAACGCGTGGACCTGTTCGTTGGTCCATTTCCACGGCTGATCTTTCTTTAACAGGCGCGTTAGCGGTTCGCTCCGCGTCGCGAATTGAGGAATAAACCTCCGATACCAGGACGACATACCCAGAAATCGTCGGAGTTGTTTTAAATTCGTAGGGGCCGGGTACTCGAGAATCGGCTGTGCCTTCTCCGGATCTACTGATAATCCCTCCTTGCTCACAATGAAACCGAGATATTTAACTTGTGCGCGGCAAAATTCGCACTTCTCGGGATTGATCGTTAATCCGGCAGCGAGGATCTTTTGCAACACGCGATCCAGCCATTCTAAATGCTCTTTGAAAGTTGGCGTCACGATCACAATATCATCTAAATACGCAAAAGCATGCGGTTCCATCTCCGGTCCTATCAGTCGATCAAGTAACCGTTGAAATGTCGCGGGCGCTCCCGTCAAGCCGTACGGCATCCGCGTAAACTGATACAGGCCTTTCCCCGGAACGCTAAAGGCGGTAATTTCGCGGCTTTCATTCGCGAGGGGCACTTGAAAGTAAGCTTGGCTCAGGTCGATCGTCGAGATGTAACGCGCCGAACGCAGTTTGTCCAGTATGCCGTTCATATTCGGCAGCGGGTAGGCGTCCTTTTTCGACACGTCGTTTACCTTCCGGAAATCCAAACAAAAGCGATACTTTCCGTTGGGCTTTTTGATCATCACGATCGGATTTGACCATTCGCTATGCGAGGGTTCGATTATCCCGGCGCGCAGCATTTTATCTACCTCGGCGTGAATTGCTTCCTGTACCTTCGGAGATACGAGGTAGCAGCGCTGCCGGATCGGCTTATTTTGTCCGACATCTATCGTATGCTCGGTAAGCGAAGTGACACCGGGATTCTCAACAGGGTCCGGCAACCGCTCTTTAAGAAATCTACCTAATCTTTCGGTTTCCGACGGGGTCAGTTCCGAGAGTCCACAGCACGTTTGCGCAGATCCCTTATTATTTAGAAAGGGGTACCTGCACGTTGATTCGTCGGCGAAATACCATTCCGCGGCAGCAAAGTCTACTATTACCTTAAACGCGCGCAAAAAATCGACTCCTAATATACACGGGACGGCTAGGCTCGGCAACAAACACGTGGAGACGTCGCGGCTTCGACCTGCTACTTGAAGCGTAATCTCTGCTTCTTCGCGTACCTCCGCTAGCTGTCCGTTCGCGGTTCGAATCTGCGTACGATGATCGCGGTTAATCGGCGATCTCAACCGGCGAATAATTTTTATGCCCGCGGCTCCGAGGATGGTTCTATTTGACCCCGAGTCGATCAGAGCGCGTAAGGTTTCGCCCCCCAGCGAGATCTCGCAGTACGGGAGCTGCGACAGCGTTCGAGCGTCGTCGCCGAGTGAGCTGGACGACAAGCTAGAGGCCTCGCTCGTGGCTTCCGCGCGGGCCTTTTCTAAGTATTCCGGGATCACCGGGGCCCGCCCTAGTGATTCCCGCTTTCGTTTCCCGCACATGCCGGGCACGTTCGGACGGTAACGTTTGTTTTCCCGCAACGATAGCAATATACGCGGCGCGGCTCAGCGCATTCGCGTGCGATATGGCCGGCCTTGTCGCAGTTCCAGCATTTGCCGGATGATTTCGCAGAATTCGCGTGACTCGAGGACGCGACGTTACTCGTGGAGGCGGCAGCCTCACTATTCTGTCGTGCGGAATTAGATTGCGCCTTCGTCGCGCGAGCGGCCTCTTTTCGCGCGCGTCTCTCGGCACGCTTCTTTCCTGGGAGGTTATCCGTCAATCCGATAGCCGCGACCGCGGGAGTTTTCTTAGAACTCTTCGGCGGTGCCCGATACGCGAGATCCGGGAATATCATCTGTTCCGGCGGCGGAGGCGCACGATATCGACTAGCGGCTTCGTACCCCTGCTCCACTCGCGTAGCCTGACTCTCCAGTGAAGCAAAATCGTAAAAGTCGCGGCGCTGAACTACGATTTGCAACCGCGGCAACATATTCCGGTGAGCCTGGTTAAGCTGTTCTTCCAGACTCCACGGCGGACTCAGTCTCTCAAACATCGCGCGAATACAAGTAAGAAAATCGGCAATCGACTCGTATTCCCCCTGCGTGCGTCTCTGTATGTCTTCGCGTAACGCGAACTGAAAGTCCGGACTACCGAACCGCGCACGCCACGACGTTTCAAATTCCTTCCAAGTCCGCCACCGTCCGCGCTCGTTCCGATACCAATATAAAGCCGTGCCGTTCAAAAAGAAAGGGATACACTTGAATACGTCGGCATCGGTGGCCGTGAATAGGGCGCGACCCTCCTCGATACGCAATAGGAAGGCTTCCGCGTCGCAACCTCGAGCGCCGGAGAATTTAAGGTTCCACCGACGCATCATCTGATATACGTCGGTCGCGGAATCGGTACGACGCGCGGGCGCACGAATTTCCGGTTCGCGTCTCGGCAGCTGTAGTAACGGAGGCTGCAAGAGATGCTCCGCGAAATCCATTCCCGGGGTCCGAACTCGATCGTCCTTGATGATCGTTCCGGTACTCGATTCGCCCGATGCGCGATCGTCCCCGCTATCCTCGCCTTCCGTTTCCGGAGTCGGCGGCGGCCTCCACCCTAATTGCTCGCAGCGAACGGCTTTGGTCAGCCGCGCACGCAAGACGGGTAATATTCCTTCCGTTTTCAATCCGCGGCATTCTAATTCTTCGCGCAATTGTTCTAACGATAATTCGTGGAGTCGCGCGACTCGTTGTTCGGCGTCGGAATCCATTTCAAGGATCGTTGTTCGTTCGGCCGTGGACGCGCTAATTGCCGGTCCTCGCGAATCAATCTACCGAGGCGTCGTATTATCGGACCGAAGACCGATCAGAGAACATACCCAACAAAAAATTATTTTCCGCCAAACAAGGGAAGAAAAAAAAAACTTTTCCGAGAACGGACACTCCAGCTAATACCCTGAAATAAATATTTGCTTCACGGCTGTGAACTTCAGAACGTAAACATTCGGCGGCAATAATAAACGGATTAGTCGTCGAGAAGCGATGAGCACGGCGGAGGACAATAGGGCCACGTCAATATAACGCGCGGTGTCACGACCTATCGAGAAAATAACAAGTATACACAACAGCGTCACGCTATGATATGCTAACGCGAGCGAATTCTCGAACAGCCTATGAGTCGCGATCGGATTCTTTCTCTTAATTAGGTTTAATTCCCTAGCCCCAATCAGTGCTGTAATTTCATGGATCGTTTCCGCACAATACAACGTGTCAATCGTAAACACTATATAATAGCAATTATCGCTGAAAGAAACGGATTATCGCACATTATAAGAAACACATTTTATGATAATAAAGCATTTATAAATAATGAGCACATCTTATATATGTTCGGCAGCAGACACCTCTCTCTTTATTTCATATGCTTCTATTTAATTTTATATAAATGGTAGATATTTATTCGATCCGTACTTGATTACTTGATAAAAGATTATTATGATCTCAAAAGTTTATATTAATGGAAACTTCTTTGCTGTTACAAGGGGAGCAGCAACAGGATAGAAAAAAAATTTAACCATAAGGGACGACAACTGATTGAACTCTCTCTTGGAAATACGAGAAAAGAGAGAGGGAAAAAAAGTATATATATAATTTTAAAGTTATCAGTAATAATTTTTCATCATACGCTAATAAATTTTGTAAATAAGTTATAAAATTTTCTATTGAGAGAGTGTGCGCCGGATTACAATTTCAAACATACAAGAAAAATTTTCAATTGATACATAATTCCGTCAAGTACATGTTCAGCCGAAGAAGAAAAAAAAATGTTTGTTCTCGTAATGTTAGTTTTCCCCCAATAGTTCCCGATAAGTAAAGGGAGAAAGCGAGAGAGAAAAAAAAACTTCTCTCCTTCAAATTAGCTCGTCGCAACAGATATCTTCAATTTTCCACGAAAGTTATTTTTTTCGCGAAAAGAAAAAAAAAGAAAAATTTTTTTCTCAGTCTTACGTGATGTCGTTAACGTCAACGCAAAAAAAAAATTAATTTTTCGATACTTATTTTACTCATAATAATTTTACAGAACTTTATCTTCCCAAAAATCTCCCAACAAAATTTTCCAACATTTATTAATTTTTGACGAGCCAATTTCCTATCTCCCCTTAATTACACACAAAAAAAAAAGAAAACTTTAATCCTCTGGTGAATTTCAGTTTCTTCGCCACGCACCGGGTCTTCAGGCCTCGACGTTGGGCGCCAATTTATAACCGTATCGCGCGGAATTCGCAGCGAATATCCATTCGTCGCGGAAGGAGAAAAGTCTCCTG